CAAATTTTGTATGCATATTGATGGTACCATGGACTCGGACCATGGCCCAATTACAGATTAGCCCATAAACGGGATCAAGCCCATAACGAGATCAGCCCTCAACGGGATTAGCCTAATAAACAGGATTAGCTCATAAACGGGATCAAGCCCTAACGGGATTAATATTAATAAGCTGTTGGGTCTAACTAGGAATCGGGCCCACGATAGGAACCCACAACCAGACCGGGTTGGACAACAGACCTCGAGCTTGGGCGGAGTTCTGGTGAGGCTAGGAAATTCCTAGGGCTTACGTGGCAGGCTATCATTTGAGCATAGCTATCTGGCAGCAGGCAGGAATGCACGGAAGAACGTGGACTTTAAGGAGACAATTATTGCACAACGTCCAATTGGAGTTTATTTTGTTGTCACTATGATTCTAAATGGATTCTTTCAGTAAAATCAGCCCAGTGTTTCCATAACTATCTAGCTATAACACAGCTTACCTAGTAAGAATCTCTAGAATTCAATGTTTACATTAATGCTCCAAAAAACCAAGCAAAACAAAGAATATGACTAATTGACCATGTGAAAGTCGTTGTGATTTTACCTTAATTACCTAAAGAAAAACTTTCAAATGAAACGAATTCATTGAAATATGAGTGGAAGTCACAAGGAATTCAAAGATAAATTAGCCAAAAAGAATTGATATCAACCATGGAAGAATTTAGACAAACAATAACATAATTGGGATAAGACAATACTTAATGAAACAAGAAAATCATGCACAACTGAAGCCATGATGTTTATTTGTGAAGATAAGGCTCCTTAACGGCCACACAATCCCTACACAGGAAAAACATCCCTTCTATTTCAGTTCAATCCCATCTCAACTAAAACTCATTTACTCTCAATTTCCTCCCATGTTTCGATTTATGGAATAAAGAGGAATCTGAAAGCGATTGAAAACAAATGAGAAAACACAAGATAACAAGGAGCAAACAAAATCAAATTCACATTTATTAATAGCATAAAAAACCACGACAATTTTAATGACACCTACCAACAAAGGAATGTGAAGGGCTCTTGAATGCAAAGATGGGAGAGAAAACAACACTAACCTTGACTGTACAACCATCCCTAAGTAAAAGATAAGGATGACATGAACGCCACGGTCCACAAGTCTGCTGATAACCAAAATGACATGTAATGGCCCAAACGCAAGGAGAACCACATAGAGTAGATGCTTCAAAAGTGAAGCTGACGGAAGAACACTGAGTGGAGGATGGGTAATTGGGTGCGAAATCTGAAGATCGATTTCGAGTTAAAACGGGGAAGGGAAAGACCAGAGACAGAGGCTATAAACAGAGAGACGGGAGTCAGACTTAACATAAATTGGGCAGAATTTTGAGACGGGCATCCAGGTCACTATATAAGTAGGAGATATAAAGCACCATATGTTTCACAATTTCATTTAACCGACTTCATGATTGAATTATAATCTGAAATTTTGTGGGAATAAACTAAATTTCATGAAAACTGAAATTAAATAAGAACCAATTTATATCATACCTCTCAAAATAAACTTCCCAACACCGAGTTTCACCATTTTTATAGTGTCATTGAACACCAATGTTAAATTTGGGTCTTCTTGGTTATTGGTTGTTTTTCTTAAGTGTTGACATTCAATGTCATTCAAATGTTGATGTCCTTTTTCATGCAAAGTGATCACTGTAAATGTTATAAAATAAGCCGTGTAATCATGGGTCATACTGATAATGTATTTTTAGAATATTATCCGAAATAGGACTAAAAAGGTTTAAAAATTCCAAAGTAGGACTGTCATTTTTTTATTCCCAAAATGGGTCTAATTACTGCCATATTTTGGCAGTACCAGACTTCAAACATGACATTATTTTCCAAACTTGACAGTAATTACTCCTATTTTGGGAATAAAAAACATGACAGTCCTATTTTGGAATTTTCAAACTGTAATAGTCCTATATATTTCGGGAACTCTCCCTATATTTTTAAACTCGTGAATTAAAAGTGTTATAGTGCGAACCGTTTGATATCTCACAGAGTGAAATTCCATATGGCATGTTATCACTATTGAAAGGCGGAAGTGACAACGAACGATGTAGTGTTGCTACTATCATTTTTTGCAAAGTGCACGCACATCCATAATAGTAGAAGTAATAATAATAACATTTCCCCAACAAAGATAAAGTACTAATTATAATCATATATATAGTAGTATTCCGGTCAAGAAATTCCTGATCAGAGCACCATCCGAACACCTCTTTTTGAGTTGGTTTCTGATGATATTTTGCGCACATCCTTTAAGCTTGTTTCTCATGAAGTGTAGATTCTCTCCACTAAATGTGAGAAAAAAATCAGTCGGGAAGTCAGTCAAATAATTTTTGGAAGATAACTGCGCCAAAATATACATATAAAACATAGTTATCTTCCAAAAATCATTTGACTGCCTTCCCGATTTATGTTTTTGCTCAAAGTTGGTGGAGAACATTTACACTTCACAAGGAACATGCTCAAAAAAATTGAGCAAACAATACCACCAAGAACCACCTCAAAATGAGGTGGCCGGACGAGGCTCTGGTCAGGAATTTCCTGATCAGAATATTTGTGTGTGTATATATATACAGAGTATAATATTTGTTGTATAAATAGAAGATATAACAATAAGTGAATGATAATATTACACAATCATTTTCTACATTCCGTTAAATGCATTATTATGAGGAAATTCCTTTTTAGGGACATGAAGTTCTTGTAGATGCAAATTTCCATTGCCATGCTGATAATAATTTTTTGTAGCACACTTCTTAAAAAGTGTTTTTCTGTTTCAAGTTTCTTCTCTCAAGAATTGATGTTAACCATTATAGACGAATCTTGGCTCTCATCTTGACTTAACCATCCTAGAACAGATCTCCGTCTTTGTTCTATTTAATTTATTTTTAAAAAACTAGGGAACAATAACAAGGTAAAGAATTCAAAATGATTTGATTGAAATGTGGTATCATATTAGATAGTCAAGTATCCAACATAAAGTTCAAGTACATGCATCTAATTTTAGGCTCCATAAATTGTTATCATAAACAACATATCATTAGTTACACTATATTTGAGCGTTCATGGTGGAATTTTCCACCAATATGATTATAACTGCTTTGTGTCTTATCATTTAAGTAAAATTTTCCAGAACCAGGCTTTCTTATCTTTGTGGTACTATCTGCCGTGTGAGCGAAAATACGATTTTCATTCCCATCATCAAACCCCGTTCCAGCAAATGTATTTTATTTTTTCATGTGCAACATCAAATAAAGCGCAAGACCAACATGTACCCGAAGCATAAAGTAAATGTGTATTTGTATTGCTAAGATGGATATAAAGTAAACTCCCGTAGTAAAGTAAATATGTGCCGCTGCTGCTCCCGTTCCCACCACCACCATCACTACCACTACAAGGTAAGGGTCCATTGAATACATCAACTTGTATGAGGTGAAGTAAAGAGTATATTATACTGCATTTGGTCTTTTTAAGTACACAAATTCGGGGTTTTAATATTAATTGAGTATACCCGTTAGATTAACACGTTAATACAGTTAAGTTGACTAACAGAATGCTAATAGGTCGACTTCTTGAAGGTCGATGTCAGCCCCCAGTCACTTGATCGACTTCCCCTTGGTCGTCGTTAGACTCCCGCAAGTCGACTTCTCCTTGGTCAATGCACCTCTAGTCGACGCCCCCCCCGCATGCCGACCTCCGAAGGTCGATTTTCCCTTTTTGGTCGACTTCATGAAGGTCAACACCATAACCTTGGTTCATTACTCCTTCTTACTTAACATTCCGTTAGCCAACTTAGCTGTATTAACGTGTTAATCTAACAGGTGTACTCAATTAATACTAAAAACCCGAATTTGTGTATTTAAAAAGATCAAATGCAATATAGTGTACTTTTTACTCCGTCACATACAAGTTGATGTACTCAATTGACTCCTTCCTCCAACCACTACCAATCCATATTATATTATTACTAGTTATAGTTTCAAATCTTTTATTTTTAATACTGTTAATTTTTTTATTCTTTTATTAGATTTTTTTATTTATTGGAACTAGAAATCGTACTGTCAATGAAGAACAAGAATTGAATCATAAAAACTTTATAATTCATGTATAGGAACCGAACCAAATCAGATTTTAAAAGTTAGATTCCAACGATTTTTGTCAATCCTTGATTCCAAAGTGTCACCTCTATTAAAAATAAAAAATGCGTGGTGTGCACAAAATGTGTACACCTTTTTTGTGCACATGTCTGTTTCCAGCAGACAAGTTGTCTAACTTTTAGAGTTGTCGGTAGAGTTGTCTATCGACAAACAACTTGTCTACGGGAGAAAAACATGTGTACAAAAAAGGTGTATGCATTAAAAATGAAAAAAAAAATGAAGACTTGGATGGAGGGAATAATAACGATCTAATTATTTAACGAGTAAAGGGTCAGTTTGGTACTCGAACTTGTAAAAAAGGTGTCAAATAAGTCCTTATATAGAAGATTATGTCCGGACGTGCCATTTGAGGTGGCTCCCGGTGGAATTTTATGATAATTTTTTTTTAGCATCTTATTTATTAAGTCTAGTTTACTCATACCAAATTTCAGCTAAACATTCAATCGGGAAGACATTCAAATGAATTCTTGAAGATAACTACGCTTTTAACGGCACAATTATCTTCAAAAATTCATTTCAATGTCTTCCCGATTGAATTTTTATCTGAAATTTGATATGAGTAAACTAGACTTAATGAATAAGATGCTCAAAAAATTTCATCAAAAAATTCCACCGGGAGCCACCTCAAATGACACTTCCTGACAGAATCTTCTATATAAGGACTTATTTGACTCTTTTTTTGCAACTTCGAGGACCAAACTGACCCTTATCCCATTATTTAACTGCAATGATCATGATTTTAAGAGGGGGAGAGAGTAACTGTGAAGAGCTCAGAGCTTCAGATAATACTCAGAAATGTCAACTTGTACTACATCAGTGCGTGACATCTTCAAGGAAAGGAAACTGAAATTGCCATTCATTGTCTCTCTCTTTCTTCTCATTTTCTTCCTCACCTTTCTCCTCATCTCAAACTCTCAGAAATCTCCACTCTACACAGCCACCGACATCTCCCTGACCGGACCCGATTCCAAAGCCGCTGCAATCCCGTTTCCTTCTGCTCCAAGCCCTCTTCCACCTCCCTCACTACCGCAGCACCCGCCTGATTCCATCTCGATCGGCGGTCATGAGAATGTTGCCGGCGATTCCGATTCTGATCCGATCCAGTGGAAGTTGTGTGACGGTGCGGTGGCGGTTGATTACATACCTTGCCTTGATAATTGGAAAGCTATAAGCGCATTGAAGTCGAGGAGGCACATGGAGCATCGGGAGCGGCACTGCCCCAACCCCACTCCCCGGTGTTTGGTTCCACTTCCGGCTGGTTATCAGGTTCCCGTTCCGTGGCCCAAGAGCAGGGACATGGTGAGATTGTTATCTTTTTGGTGGTAAGAATATAGTTTATCCTTAGTAGGTGCATCTTAATGAGTTACTTTATCATTCAGCGCTACTTAGTACCATATTATATGGAATTCGCTTGTCTTCACCTTGTTAGCTTACCCTATGAATTGAGTGTTGATGAAATATTCAATTGTCTAAAATTGCTTAACACTACAAATCCACACAGACAAAGCATGAGAAGTAGAAGTTTGCTGATCAACCTGAAGCTAATAAAAATCAATTTAAACCCCTTCACTAATCCCATTTTAATTTCTCACAGGTATGGTATAACAATGTGCCACATCCTAAACTTGTGGATTACAAAAAGGACCAGAGATGGGTTGTCAAATCTGGGGATTATTTTGTTTTTCCTGGTGGGGGAACTCAATTCAAAGAGGGGGTGAACCACTATGTTGAATCTATAGAGAAGGTAGCATATCATCCCTAGTTTGTTAGTATATCATAATCTACCCAATTTGCATTGCATCTGATTTTCTGGTTTTTTACTATCCAGGCTTTACCAAAAATTAAATGGGGAAAAAACACAAGAGTTGTTCTTGATGTTGGCTGTGGTGTTGCTAGTTTTGGTGGGTTTTTGCTGGATAAAAATGTGATTACAATGTCATTCGCACCGAAGGATGAACACGAGGCTCAAATACAGTTTGCACTTGAACGGGGAATCCCAGCTACACTCTCAGTGATTGGAACTCAAAAGCTTCCATTTCCAGACAATGGGTTTGACTTGATTCATTGTGCGCGTTGCAGGGTTCACTGGGATGCAGATGGTACGTACATTGAATGAAAATTGTCAGCTTATACTTCCTATTATTCTGTATGTGAACTGGGTGTACATTGACTTGCAGGTGGGAAACCATTGATGGAGCTAAACAGAGTTCTTAGGCCTGGAGGGTATTTCATATGGTCTGCCACTCCAGTATACCGGGATGATGAAAGAGATCGTCAAGTTTGGGAAGGTTTTGGCTCCTGCCTACTTGTTATCTACATTTTCAAAATTTATTTTAGGCTCTGCTTGGATTTTGGAAAATACATGGGAAAGATAATAAGAAGAAAACTATAGAGGAAATTATGAAGGAAAGAAAATGTGGACTAAATAAAATATATAGGACAAAACTCAATACGTTTATTTTAGATATTTGTTGATACTTATTTTATTTGTTTGTTTATTTATTTATTTATTTATTTATTTAGTTATTTATTTATTTATATATATATATATTTATTTATTTATTTCTGTCATATGAAGAACAAAAAATCTAAATACGTGTAATGTAAAAAACTTAGGGCCTGTTTACTAACAGAAATATTTTCCAGTTTTCCAGAAAACTGGAAAACTCGAAAACAGAAAACAGGAAACGTGTTTACCAAAGAAATTCCTGGAAAACTGGAGAAAGGAAAAAAGAAAAACGCGTTTACCAAATCGTTTTCCAAAATGGAAAAAATGAAACATGTCTCTCTTTTCCTTAATGATTTGGAGAAGTGACTTTTACTAGTTTTCCAAATTTGGAAAACGCAGATGTTACAGTGCCTTTGCAATGAATTTGCATACTTACACCTAGTGGTGGGTCCGGTCCCGCTCCGATGTCGATTCCATTCCGGTACCTCCATCCTCGTACCTTACCCCTTACCCCTACCCTACCCTACCCACCCAACCCCCACCCCGCGTACCCTTTTTTCCCTATAATGACCTTACCCCACCCCCCATCACATGCCCCAACCTCGGCCCCACCCCGATCCACCTTACCCTACCCGCCACCCCCCTACCACCTCGACCCCACCCCGACCCACCCTACCCTACCCCCACCCCTCGTATATTACCACTTACCCCTACCTTACCCCTTACCACATGCCTCCTACCTCGGCCCCACCTGATCCCGACCCCACCCTACCGCCATCCTATCCCAACTCCCTACCCTACCCCTACCTTACCCCTACCCCAAACCCCACCCACTACCCCCACCCTTACCGCCATCCTACCCCTTCCCTACCCCGGCCCCACCCTAGTCCCGACCCCACCTTACCGCCATCATATCCCAACTCCCTACCCTACCCCTACCTTACCCCAACCCTACCCAATACCCCACCCTTAACTCTAACCACGACCCTAACCCACCCACTACCCCCACCCAACCCCCTACCCCTAGACCTTACCACCCCACCCCGACCATACCCCTTACCCTACCCCCCACCCATAACTTCCCTACCCGAGCCCCACGAGTAGGTATGGGTGGGTATGAAGGGTTGTGGTGGAGTATGGGTAGAGTGTAAGATCGTGGTAAGGGTAGAGGTAGGGGTCAAGGGTGTGGAATTGGAGAACCGTGTGAAAAAATTGATGAACATGTTTTTAAATTTGAAAATGGAAAACTAAAAAATAGAAACAGAAAATTGGAGATAGAAAAACTGAAAAATAAAAACAGAAAATTGGAGAACGAAAAACAGATGTAGAAAACAGGAAAATATCTCTGTTAGTAAACAGGCACTTATATTTTGTTTTTCTAGGCAAAAGCAAATACAAGAGTTAATAAATACGGAGTATAACTTGGCATTTTCCCTTTTCCTAGCATTTATCATGATCCAAAGATAATCTTAAAGTATCATTAGACCAATCACTGTTTTGTTTGGCACTTGTAGCAGGCAGGGGACATTTCAGCTGACAATTGATCATTTCCAGAATGAAGCCATAGAGTTTCTAATTATTACAGTAAAAATTTCCACTCCTATAGGTTTTAAATGGTTGGAGGATATTGGAGTGGGAGATTATTTTTTACTAATACATCTCTCGTTCTTAGTGTTACATAGAAAATTACTATATGATTAATTAAATTGTGTATTTCTATATAATTTTCATCTTCCCTCTCTTTCCAACCATGCCTCTCCTTCCCCTCCTTCTGAAACTCCCCAACCAAAACAAAATTTTAGTCGACTTCGAAGCAATTCATTTAATAGACAAAAGATCTTTCCTTTTGCAGCCATGGTTTCTCTGACTGCAGCACTATGCTGGAAGGTAGTGATGAAGACATATGATAAATCTACTTCAATTGGGATGGTTATATATCAAAAGCCCACTTCACCGTCCTGTTATAAGGGGCGTCAAGAAAACAATCCTCCTCTTTGTGATCAGACAAGTAGACTAAATAGTTCATGGTATGTACTGATATTTTTGTTCCTGTCTTTTCATTAAGGATATTTTTGGATATTGGAGAATGCTATGGAAAATGAAGTTTTACTTTTCTCGCAAGGAGTGCTAAGGAAAGTTATTTCTTTATTTGGTTATCTTGGAAAATGCAAACGATCATCAAATACGATTTTTTTACATAGGCTAAAGGGTCAAATAGGTACATGAACTAACTTAAAGTGTTCAATTAGCCCCTTATATAGGAGGTTCTGCCCGGCCGTCGCCAATTGGGGCGGTTCCCGATGGAATTTTTTGATGAAATTTTTTGAGCATCTTCTTCATTAAGTCTAGTTTACCCATATCAAATTTCAGCTAAAAATTAAATCGGGAAGGCAGTCAAATGATTTTCCGAAATGTACTGCGCTGTTTAACTGCGCAGTTATCTTCAAAAACTCATTTGACTGCCTTCCCGGTTGAATTTTTAGCTGAAATTTGGTATGAGTAAACTAGACTTAATGAAGAAGATGATCAAAAAATTTCATCAAAAAATTCCACCGGGAACCGCCCCAATTGGCGACGGCCGGGCAGAACCTCCTATATAAGGGGCTAATTGAACACTTTAAGTTAGTTCATGTACCTATTTGACCCTTCAGCCTTTTACATATGTTTAGACTTTAGATTTCTTAGTCTTTATAAAATAGACACATATAATAAAACAGTATCAAATACCCCCCCCCCCACACATTCTCTATCCGTCCAATTCTTTTCTATCTTCACTTTTCCTATCCATACTACTTTTTATCAGCCAAAATGAGTCCTAATTGATTCATAAGCTACCTACTAGGTATGCACGCCTTGACAGCTGTCTTCCACAACTTCCCATAACTAGCAATGGAAATTCATTCAAGTGGCCTGTACCCTGGCCTATGAGGCTCAGCAACAGACCTTCAAGCCTGTCTTTAGTAGGTGATGATGAAGAGACTTTCAATAAGGATACCAAACACTGGGATGCACTTCTCTCTGACGTTTACCTAGGAGGACTTGCCATAAACTGGACAGGCGTTCGGAATGTAATGGATATGAATGCCGGTTATGGAGGGTAAGCTGGAGTGTTATTACATAACTCTGTGCATACAATCTCGTTTGTGGGTAAATTTTGGACTGAAGTTGAATGAATTGAAATTACTGTAATTGTGGTTCACCACCCAAAATTTACTAAATCTAGTTAATTTTTATATACAAAGTACATACAGTAAGAGTAATATTTGGTCAATGTTACAGCTCTTTTTTATCATTTTTATCAGTTTTAGCTCTTATTTCATATACCGATTCATGTTAGCCGACCCCAAATTCTTTTGGGACCAAGGATTGGATGTTGTTGTTGTACAACTAATAAATCTTTTAAAGTCCTACTTATATCGTTTACAGTGTTTTTAACTAAATTTTTCATATTTGACTTGGTTGGAGTACTTTTGGGGAATTACGTTTACAATTAGCTCCATTTAATGAAACAAGGTTGCCTTTTGGGTCAAAAAACGTTTGAAGCATGACCTTTTTTCAGGACAAAAAATGAGAGCAGAAGTATCACTTCTTTTCATTAGGCATTTTTTGTAATTCTTTTAATCAAAATAGTTAGCTAGCATGGTAAAAAGTAGTGGTTGGTAGAAATTGTGAGTCATAAAGTCTCAAGTAGGAATACATTTCTATGAAACAGGCACTGCATGTGTCACATCTGCTTCTTGAGTCTTGTTTGTGATATTAATCTTTTCTTTGTCAGGTTTGCTGCAGCATTAGTTAACTTGCCGTTATGGGTAATGAATGTTGTTCCTATTAGTGGGCCAGACACGTTACCTATTATATTTGATAGAGGGTTGATTGGAATATATCATGACTGGTGTGAATCCTTCAACACCTATCCTCGTACATATGATCTTCTACATTCAAGTTTCCTCTTTGGAAAGTTAGCTCAAAGGTACGTACTACTCCATTTATTATTAGGCCAATGTTAGAAGCTAATCTAAATCCACTGCTTAGCCTTGGCTAATAATGACCATCCAATGTGTGTGGATCCACTAGTAAAGGAGCTGAGGAGGTGGGGTGCACAGATCTAACGAAAAATGGCAAGCAGATTATCCAATTTGCTTCTAGATGCTTTAGGATATGGTTGGGTATTTTGAAGAAAATATAGGGAAATGAAAGATACTAACATGGTATGTAAGCTGGTTTGCGTCTTGGAAAATGCAAGTAAAGAAAAAAATGCATTGTTGTTTTGTTGTGTTTGTTTTTGCTTCCAAAAATGCAATGGTGAATGAATTATGATCAATGTTTTCAAACATTTTTTTTTTGCCGCAAAAGAAAAAGTTTATTAAAAACTAAAGAAAAGTACAAATGCTAATGAGAGAGATCCGCTATTGAGGGCTGAAAGCTAATTGAAAATATAAAAACAAACGAAAGCTAATGAGAAATGTGATCAATGCCTTCAAATGTGTATATATGTGTGTATATATTTTAGTCTTTCTTAGTCTGCATTTGAACCTCCCCACATGTTCTTTCCTCCCACGTTTCTGATACGTAGTACATCTTACTCTGCATTTGAACCTCCCCGCATCTCTTCTTTCTTAGTCTGCATTTTAACCTCCCCACATGTGCATATAGATTTCTCAGTCTTTGTTATAGTAGCCTTACTAGTTTCTGTTTAAATCTAGAGCTTGAACTCTAGAATAAATTTTTTAGATTAGAATGTGTTTGTAAATTTCCCTCAAATTTCCTTGCAGATGCAATATAATAGACATGACAGTGGAGGTGGATAGAATATTGAGACCAGGCGGGATACTTTTGGTCCAAGACAGCATGGATTTGATCAATAAGCTTAGCCCAATTCTACACTCACTCCACTGGTCAGTAACTATAACCCAGCAACAGTTTCTTGTTGGCAAGAAAGGCTTTTGGCGTCCACATGAAAAGACCAGATTATAGAAACGACACTCACACCCTCATATTAACTTTTTTTATTTGTATTCCATGGGAAGGTATCAATCCCATATATTCACATACAAGAATGATTGAGAAGCAAAAAGAGGAGCCAACATATATTTCGATACACATTTATTATTTGTGTAAGGCTGTATTCAAACCAGCTCTTTTGTGGTTCTTAATCTGGTTCGATTGCTGCTGGTTGGAAACCAGATCTTCAAGTTACTTTGAATTCAAAAAAGATTTAATTGGCCACTCTTGGCTTATTTTGGGGAACATCCTGATATTGTGGTTTACAACTATAAAACCGACCGCTTCTAGTCCGGTCTCATACTTTCAGTTTGACTGTTGTCATGCCAACAACAAAATATTGCAATGCGTCTACTTAATACTCCATCCGATTCATAAAACTTTGCTAAATGTTCTTTTTAGCCGTCCCAAAGCACTTTGTCACTCCCATTTAAAATAATGAATATGTGATTAACATTATTTCTATCTCCACACAAATCTCAACCACCTAACTTTTACTTTATTATTAAAAGTGCAAGTTAACTTAGGTCATTTTTTGAAATGGAGGAATATTGTTGCTGGGGTATTGGGTCAAACATAGGTAGACCCAAATATCCCCGGTGGCCCTACCAGTGCTAAGGGCCCGATCGGCCAATCCCCATTTTCAGATACCCTCGATCGGACCGATCAAGACAGATCTCTAACACTTGGAGCTTTCCTACTGCTTGCTACCTATATGCTTAGAGTTTCACGAGGTAATTAGCGGGAAACACATTTAATGCGCTAGATATGAGAGATTTTATGGTTGGAGGCTATCAACTCAGGGGTTACCACGTTGCCCTTTACACCTATAAATACTTGCATTTGTTTCATTGCAAAGAGTTGGCAAATTTGTGTTCAAGAGCTTAGCTTTTCTCTCCAGATTCTTTTGTAAACTCTCAACTTAAAAATAGTGTTAGGGCTCGGCAAATCGGCAATGATGTGTTGTAATTGTTCCAAGTCCATTGCTTTTGTCTTCTGATTAATCACTCACTAAATGCACGGAATCCCTAAAAGATCCTAGGAAAGTTCAATGAATTGTGTTGGGCCTTTGGACTGCGAGGACTTGACCTCAACAATTGTTCTATGTTTTTATTTTGTCTTTGACAACTCAAAACAAGAGTATATGTATCATCAAAAGTGTGTTTGAGTTACATGTTGAAAGTTTTCCGTAGAAAAATGAATAGTATAAAAATGATTACTTATAAGGAAGCGATCTAACTTAGCTGATCATCGAGCTCTCCCATACGTAAGGTTTCAGGTTTGAAACTCCATGGAGCAAGTTTTAGCGCTTGATAGGGTATTTAATTCTATAGAGATGTGAGAGCTAGAGAGATAAAGTGAGTAATTATATTTCTCAACCCCCTATAATTAGCCCCTTGGGGTCTATTTATAGGTAAAAATGTGGACTTGGGCCCCTAGCCTTGGGCTTAGGAGGCCCATTACAATAATCATGCCTTCTTTGGGCGGATAGGACCACTAATGGGCTGAGTACAACACTTGGTAAATAAACTATGAAAATACATTCTGTCTGGACGAAGTCCGGACGATGCGGTCCATGGACGATGCGATCCATGGACGATGCGGTCCATGGACGATGCGGTCCATGGACATCGCAGCCCCTGGGCTGTGGCCTAAGGGACCTGGGTGATATCTTCTTCTTTGGACGTTGCGGGCTCCTGGCCGACGCGGGTGTCCTGCTGGTGCCTTTTGGGCCGTTGAGTATGTGGGCCCTGGGGCCCATATACTCTATCAGCGCTGTTTAACCCAAACACCGCTAGCCCACTCCGCCCCCAACCCTCGGGGTAAAAAAAAGATTACTTATTTACTTGTAATATTTTTTTAGTGGCAAATTTACTTGTAAGTTAATTATTACATTTACACCTATGAACTATTATACTTCCATTACTCTATAAAACCATAATCACCATATCAAAACTTTCAAAGCAGGGAGTGTTAGGTTGTGTGATAAAACCATAATCACCATGTCAAAACTTTCAATATGGAGCCCTAACATTTTGACCTATTGTATTTAAAAGCTTAGATCAGAACTGGCATTCCGTTAAACTTATTTTTCTATTAGACCAAATATGCCTCTTTGGCAAAAACAGGGGTCCAGAACCAGCTTGGTGGGAGTGCGTTCACTCTTCTTTGGATGGATTGCAATGTGGTCACGTGGGATTATGACTAACGAGTTTATGATAGCTAAAGGATTAGTTAGTTGTTAAACTAAGATTAGTTGTACGTAATTCCATTTTTTTAAAATAGCTGATTGAAGAGTAGTTAGAGATAGTTCATAATCTCCCTAAAAAAAGAGGGGTCATAATCGATCTTCTTCCCGAAACATTCTACATATAGTTCATAATCAAACTCACATACGGGCTATACGGCTGAGTTCTTCTTACTGTGTCCAAATTCTTTTCCTATTATTAAGAATTCTTGCCAATGATCTAGCTTACTTTCGTATTCCTATCCCTAAATCATAGCATAGAAAAAAGACATCGACCACAAATTTACTGATCTCGGATAGTAGCAGTGACATAGTTCATGATCTACATAGCAATAAACGCTGATTAGTAGTTATACCAGAACTACTTGTCTCCCACTAACATTGAACATGAAGAAGTGATGCAGTTGTTAACAACTAACAAGTGGTTTATATTGAATTGATAAAGTAAGAATAAAGTATGAATGATTTAAAATCACATTTTTTCTTTCAAGTTTGATATGAGATAATCTTAGTGGAACGATGCAAAAAAAATAAATAGACAATCTTAGTAGGATGGGTGAATTTATTTATAGAGGGTCAAAGTCATACAACAATTTGACCCTTTGATGGGTTGATAATTTTAGCACTAGGTAAAACTTAGATGAGAATTGTAATGACAATTTTTTTACTATGCCTAAAATTCTATATCATTTACTTATATTGTCTTTTTTTAATGTTTTTCACATAATTAGTTTTTTTAATAGTTATTACTAAACGATTGAATAAAATTTTTAGGAGTTTTTTTTTAAATATTACCCCCTCCATCCCACTAACAATGGTACAAAAGGGAGTGACACACATACCAATATAAGTGGATTTATGTGGTTGATATTGAATTGAAAAAACAAGAATATGTTATGCAAAATTTATGTAAATCTGCATGCATTAGTAATTAGATATATAGAAGTAAAAGAAAATACTTGTATCAACCGAGCCCAACAAAAGCGTTGTTTCCTTAAGACGTTTTTGCCCGACACACGTAGCAAGCATCTCCCAGGATAGAACGGTTCTTCGCTCCCAACGGGATTCCGGCGAACTCAAAGATGCAACGAAGGAAGAGAGAATATGGAGGATTGCTTGTGAATTTTCGGATAGGATGAAAATGCAGGCAATCATGGGTATATATAGAGCTCTGGCCAGGAGACTCTACACCCAAAAGACACCTTTAGAGAGAAAGGTTGTGACCCTCCTTCTAAAAACAAAGGATGTGTCTATTGCCAAACATTATCCAAATAATTGAGAACGACAAATAGAATTGTCTTTAAACCATATACTCGGGTAGACGGTTTAAGACTCTCACACGAAACTCGACCCGACCGACTGGACGGCACCTGCGGCGGTGTTTACGTGTGAGATATAATTTCACACTTATCTTTCGGGAAACAATTTCTCATTCATTTCAAAATGATTTACTACAAATAATATTAATAACCATAATATTAATTTGTAGAACCATTTTTCCAACAATCCCCACACATGAATGAGAAATTGGCTTAAAGACAGGAAGTAGATTGGAATTTGACATGGGGAGATGGGAACTCTGCATAGGGTTAGGTAGTCGTGAAACTTTGAACCTGCCTTAGTGTATATCCATCGGATTTACTGGACAATCGGTAGCACTTTGCTTTGAACAGTTAGCCATAGTGTAAACCTAGACAATGAATAACACACAGAGCCCCCCCGAGTGCATCTTTGGTTCTCACGTTTGTGTTCATTTCGGCCTTGAACACCTCCTGGTTCAGCTAGTGTTTTCGAGAGTATATCGTGCACCGGAGAATTTATCTCGTGCCATAGACTCTCATAGAAGCGGCCTTCTTCCACCAGCATAGGTGATCTATATGGAAGGTATCATGTCATACCTTACTTGAACGTATCAAGATATAGAGATCATTAAAAGCGTAACTTACCCAAGATGCTCATGGCATGAGTGTACTATATCTTGGCTAGTACCGCCCAAGCCAGTCCACAGTTGTGTAATTGTGTTTTCCCTTTGAACCTAATTATGAGGCACTCTCAATAATAGGCAGGGTTTCCCGGCCCCATGGACTTTTTATTGGATCATTGGCCGTAGGTCCATTGCTCTCCTTGACGTCTCGACCAACTCCCTCGGTAGAGGTTTGGTTAGCGGATCCACAATATTTTCTTTCGAGTTAACATAGTCAAGAGTGATGATCCCATTTTTAATTAGTTTTCTAACGGTATTATGTCTACGACGGATGTGTCTAGACTTACCGTTATAAACTGCATTCCTTGTCCTTCCAATTGTAGCTTGACTATCACAATGAATGGATATTGGAGGGACAAGCTTTTCCTAACAAGGAAGATCTTCCAAAAACTCTCTCAACCATTCACCTTCTTCTCCAACCTTATCTACGGCAATGAATTCAGCTTCCATGGTAGATCTTGCAATACATGTTTGTTTGGAAGATTTCCACGACACGGCACCACTTCCAAGGGTAAACACATATCCACTTGTTGATTTTGTATCCTTGGAATCAGATATCCAATTTGCATCGGTATATCCCTCTAGCACGGCTGGATATTTTTGAAGATGTAAACCATAGTCTTTGGTGTACATCAAATACCCAAGCAGCCTTATAAGCGCTTTCCAGTGTTCTCTACCGGGATTTATTGAAAACCGGCTTAGCTTATTCACAACTTGAGCTATATCGGGTCGTGTGTCATTCATGACATATGTTAAACATCCTATGACCCGGGGATAGTCATCTGGTGATATGCTTTCTCCTCCATTTTTGCTGAGGTGAGCACTAGAATCAAAAGGAGTTCTCATGGGTTTGATATCATACTTCTTGAATCTCTCAAGCATTTTCCCAATGTAGTGTGATTGAGATAATATCAACCCTTTAGGTGTTCTGGTGATTTGAATCAAAAGGAGTTCTCATGGGTTTGATATCATACTTCTTGAATCTCTCAAGCTGAGAGATTCTCTACCCGCAAGGTAGAGAAACATAACTCTTCCTTGTAATCATTCAAAGGTTTTTTTAGTGAAGTTGTTAAAATTCCTGCGAGGGAGGTCGAAGTTTTTTTATCCCTTTGAGCCAAGGGATTTTTCCTCGT